AGAGTTTGCGGCAGCGTTGCCATCTCTGCTTTCTCCCCCGCCACATCCCCTTCCCTTGCGCATACGTCCTCTCTGGCCACAGCTCGCCCTGGAGACGGCGTTTGCCTCCTCGCAGCCCTTGCAGCTCTGTCTTTCTGCCAGGAGCTGTTCCCCCTCTTTTGCTCCGACAGGCTCCTGAAACGAGGGGAAACTCTGTGGGTGGGTGGTTAGAAAACGGATTGTTTCTCATGTAAATTTTACCCAGTCTCTCTCCACTTTGTATCCCCGCTTTTTACGTAGCCAATTCTTGCCGAGGAAAAAAGAAAAAAAAAAAAAAAGATTAATGGCATGTAAAATGGGAGGGGTGGGGGGAGAGAAAGCTAGAGGCAAATTTCCACATCCCCTTCCTCTGGACATCCTGGTGGGTTTTCCATAGAAACTTTCACACAGTGGCCAGACAGATGCTTAAAGGGGATGGAGAAAATAATGAGACCACGATGGGAAAACAATTGCGTCCCCAGCTTTCCACCTCCATTAAAGGCTCCTTTGCCTTTGCGGCAGAGCCCTCTCCCTTCGCCCTGACCGGCGGTGATGCTCCCGCAGCAGTGGCTGGTACGGGGCAGCCATGGGAAAGCCGCCGCTTTGGCTTCTGGAAGTGAGAACTTGGTTTCCCTGCGGGGGGAAAGCAGCCTTTGTGCCTGCCTGGCTTCCCTAATGTGGAGAAAATTCCCATTAATTTTGCGAGGAAACATTTTGTTATGCGTGTTTCGACAAAACATTAAAAATCCTACTCGTATTTTTTTTTTTAGAAATCACTCTCGCAGCTTGACAGCCTCACTGGAGCCCCAGCCAGGCCTGCCCGAGACAGCGCGGAGAGGCCTCTCTCTCCCTCTCCCTCTCTGTTGGCTGCTCTTTTCCTGTCTAATCAATTATCTCCCTAGCTAGTCCTTCTCAAAGGTGAGAGCTCATTATGCATATTCATAAATCACAGCTCCCAGACCTGACACTGATTGATGTAATCATCTCCCGCTCGCTCCCTGCCTGCGCGGGGCCGGCCGGAGGAAGCGCCGGCGAGGAGGAGGCAGGAGAAAGAGACTTCCAACTTGTCAGACCCACTTCTGCTGGGAGCGGCTCGCCGGGCGTAGCGGGCCGTGTCAGGCTTCCCATTCACCGCGGCCAAAGTGCCCATCACAGCCCCGGGGATGAGACGGGAGAAAACCCTGCGGGCTGAGAAACACCAGCGAGCTGCCTCCAGTACAGCTGACTGTTACGCAGGCAGCATTACAAGAGTGAGGAGAAGATCCAGCACCGTTTTCACAATCGGGCATCAGACCACGCGTTAAAATACCCCCCCCAATCTTTCACGTTAGCTACTGCGCTTGCTGTTGTTTTCCTTAGATAGTTACAGCTGGTTTATCCCCGTAAGGACAGATGTATTCTGTATGGATTCTGGTCATGAGTATTTAGATATGTGATACAGCAAATATCTTCAGCATTATGCCTGCAGCTGTCCTCAGTAGCTATAACGTAAAAAAAATAAAAGAAAAAAGTTGTGAACGATGTCAGTGACTGCTGCAAGGGTTTGAGGGCAAAAGGGCTCCTCCAGCCCAGCCTAGCAGCTGTCCAGGTAGGAACGCGTATCTCAGCTACGACTCGTTTCCCAAAGTGTGCTGCAGCATGGCAGCGCTCAAGATGCTGTTCAGATTATGCGGTTTACCTGTATGGTTAATATTTACACTTTTAAAATACCTCTTTTTATCACTTTGATCAGAACCATCAGTGTACTGAAGTAATAATACAAAAATATATGCCCTGGAAATCATAACAAGGTACAAATAAAAGGGAGCCCTAATCAGGTACTTTGGAGAGTGTTATCTTCCCTGTTAACAAATGGTAATAAGAAAATTAAGGCTTATAGCTTGCCCGCTTTTTATCTAAGAAAACCAATAAAGATATCAGATGTTCTTTGTTTTATATGTTTGGATGTAAAGCAGAATAATGAAGAACGTGTACCTTCTAAGGCTTCATTTGCTTTATGGGTATTAACCCCTTAGGATGCCAGTGAAATTCTGAATTTGCAGAGGCTGTGCTGCCACCCGGGGTTTTGAGGCCCGTCTTTGCTGCCGTCAAGACAACATCTTTTTTTATTAAATGCTGAAATTGGAACAAAGCAACAATGGCCGCTTGCTAACTGTGCATGTCCAACAGGCCTCTTTACTATTCAGCAAATGGCAGATATTAAACAACATTTTGCTTAAAGGTACGCTGAGGCCATTTCCATTAGGACATGGTGTCATTCATTTATTCACATGTTAAGTGGATGTCCTTGTGGCTAATGAGTAATAATCAACAGTGACTCCACTTTATTCCTTTGCTCCCAGCAATGTTAAATACTCTGATGGAGTCCCTTTGCTGACACACTGGAGAATATGGTTAAAAAGTGCTAAAGGACATTTTCAGTGTAGAGCAGCCACATACACACAGGCTGGAAACAGCACTTTTATTACAGTCTATTCTATTAGGTTTTGTTCCTGTTTAAGGCATGGCGCGTGGAAACCGCTGATATTTATTTGAAGGCACTTTATGCCTTAAAAGCCGAGAACTCTCTCGGTTTGAGAGTCGATGTGGTTATTGCTGGGAGATGAGCTCTCGTCCAGCTGGTTTATAAAAAAATCAAACCGCACCTTACGGTACCTTCTCCAGATTCTGTACATGACTTCAGAGAAATGTTTAGTGGAGGAGTGATTTAGGAC